GTTCACTTATTATACGTGTTTTTAGTTCTCAAGTACTCTCCATTTTATTTTCTCTCTCTCTCTCTTTCTCTCTCTTTCTCTTTTTCTCTTTTTTTCATTTTATAAAATTTTTTACTTTGAAAAAAACCTTTTTAGTCCTTTTTTGTTGTTGTTATGTCGTCGTCGTCGTCGATATGATTCGTTTGATTTAAAAATTTCAAATATGATTAAAATCAATCTTCATGATAATGATGATATTCTTTTGATGTGTGAGAGAGAGAGAATTATTTTATTTTTTAATTGTCGAATCCCTTCTGTTAGATTTTTTGGCGTGGAAACCCGAGTAAAAAAAAAAATGACGTACGTAAATCATTTTGCGCAATAAGTATAAACTTTCGTTTGTAAACCTGTCGTAAATATAAAACAAAAGGAGGGAGGGGGGAGGGGAGTACTGAGGAATGATAATGTACACGCCCAAACTCGAAAAAATCACCACGGGGGGGACCCCCACAAGTGAAGTTTTATGCGATCAACAAAGTTTTATGGGACTGAAGGAGGAGGAGGAAGAATCGGAGGACTGGAAAACCTAAAAAATACAACAAACAACATCACGATAGTTTAAATAATTTGTATCATGACTGGAGCCCTGGACCCGCGCACTACTCTACCTAACAAGCCTAAAAAATGAATTGAAAAAAAATGACGAATGTGTAACAAACCCACGTTCTTCAAATAAAAAAAACATCATCATCATCATCACTGAGGAAAAATCTGTGTAAAAGAGAATGGTGGTGAAAAATTCCGAACCAAAAAAACCTGACAGCATTAAAAAGTTATTAATAATAATAATAATAATAATAATAATATTATAATAATAATGTGATAAGTATAAAAAAAAATTTAAAAGAATTTTAACGACTTGATGATGAATCATTAAAAAAAAAAATGCAAATTTTATTATTATTATTATTATACTTCATAAAGGAGTAACTTTTCACGACAAAGTAAGTAAAAGAAGAACATCAGGCAGATATTATTATTATTATTAGATACATTTCACATACATACATAGATAAAATACATAGATATATGAATGGATAAAAAGATATCATCAATAAAAAGGGGGTGCCGGATAAAATAATCATTCGCCTAATGGGTGATCAATTCAATTGGTTTTTTTCATTTCGTCCCTTCGTTTCCTTCTTCCCCCTCCTCCTCCTCCCCCCTTTCTCCCCCCTGGTGCCACTTTCTGAACAATGAATGACAACAAGTGAATTTGTTCACCCAACCATTATACTTTATTCCATCGGTTACATATAAAAATGTTAATATAAATCCATAAGTATTATTTACTTAAAGGATTTAATTGTGATAAATAATTTTTACCATCGTAAATTTTCAAACCATTTAGAAATTTGACAGTGAAAGAGAGAGAGAGAGAGAGAGAGTGAGAAAAGAACGTAATAGAATTTTCCAGACGGTATTTTTTTTTTGGAAAAATGGTACAAGGTCATTCATAACTCTCCTTTAATAATTAATTTTTAATAATTTAAAAAAAAAATAAAAAAAATAATAACACGACAAGTATGAGAGAGAGAGAGAGTGAGAGAAAATGTCACCATGATGGGGGATAGAAAAAAAAAAAAAAAATTATTCAACGTCATTTAACACCATTATCATCATCATCATCATCATCATTATTATTATTATTTTGTATATATATATATATATATATATATACGTATCACGAATTGTTGGTACCTATCAAAGCGTGACGTAATAAAAATTAATAAAAAAAAAAAAAAAATCTTTTAGGTCTTTACACGGTCGACTAAACAATTTAAATAATTTTCTTCCTTTTTTTTTCCTTTACTTTTATCATTATTATTATCATCATTATTGTTATTATTATTATTATTTCGGGGTTATTCGAATTCACGAAAAGGGAGAAAAAAAAATTTTGTTTTTTTTTTCAATGCAACCATAGAAATTCGTTTAGGATTTTTCGTTCGGAGAAAAGGAAACCTTAAAAAAAATTTTCTGCAAATCTCTCTCATTTCAATCATTATTATTATTATTATTATTATTATTATTATTATTATTATTATTAATTTACAGAGAGTTTCAGATTTCCTAATAATAATAATGATGATGATGATGACGATACGTAAATATTTTTTTTTTCATCAATAAACTCGAAGGAGAAAAATGGGAAAACTCACGGTGTGTATCAAAACGGATTTTCCTCATATCAAAATATCACGTGATGATGATAATTGAATTTTATTTGGAAAATTATTATTATTATTATTATTATTTATTTTTGGCGGATTTCCACGTTTAAATAAAAATCATATACATATATATATATATTTTTTTTTTCAATCGAACTTTTCCATTCCAATAGAAAAAAACTTTTTGGAAATTTCCACAACTTTTTCTTTTCTTTTTTTTTTTTTTGTATATTTAAATTAATATCGAAATAGTGATAATAATGATGATGATAATAATAATAATATAAATAATTTCAACAAGTGGATTCGATGAAAAGTTAAAAAAAAAAAAATTAAAAAGGTTTAACCTTAAAAGAAGGTATTTTTCCCAATACGTAATAAAATGTTTTTAAAACCCAAAGAAAAAGAAAAAGGAAGGGAGGGGGAAGGGGAGCTTAATGATGATGATGATGATGATGTAAGAAAAAGGTTTTTTTTTTTTTTATAATGAATCCTTTTCTTATTATTTAAATAATAATTGAAATTTACGATGAAAATAAAAATTTATTAAAGTGATATTATTATGTTATGATTTTATGGTTATGTTGTTGTGATTTAATGTTTATTAAAAGAAGAAAAGTTTTTAATAAAAAAGCTTTTTCGTGTCATTAGAAACACCTGACTATAAGTAAAACTTTTATCGTACACAAATTGTGTGCGTGGCCGGGTGCGGGATGGGAAAATAAAAAAAAAAAATTTCTTTTCGACTTAAAGGGAATGAAAATTTACCTTCTAAATTTTTGTTTCTCGAAAGTAATGCCAAAAGTACTTCCGGATTTGGCGGACCGTTTCCTGTTCCATCCATACCTCCCGTTCCGTGATGATGATGCATTAGAGACGACGGAACGGAAAGCGGAAGAGGTCTTGAGACCATCGCCGCTATCGATGGGCTCCCATGGGCTGATAGAGCCAAACCTGGCGGCGGCCCGGATTGAACCGCCGCCGCCATGGACAAGTCCAGGCACGGCGGAGACAATGCACTTCCGTAACCCTCAAACACGATGATGATTTATTTATGGTTAAAATTATTATTATTATTATTTATTATTATTATTATTACTATTTTCTTTTTTTTCACAATTTTCACACCGACATTATTTGTTCACCCTTATTTTTTTAACTATGATATTTTATTTAAAATAATCATCTCACCATCGTATAATAATAATAATAATAATTATAATAATAATAAATCACGAACAAACGCGACGACGACATCTTTTCCTTTTAATTTTCCTTTTAATTTTCCTTTTAAATTTTATTTTTAAAAAATCGTTTGATTAATTTGTCGATATTTATTTAAATATTTCATAACAATTTTTTTAAATTTAATTATAAACTCAACAAGTGATCATTATTATTATTATTATTATTATTATTATTATTTTAACTTTTTTTTTTTTTTTTTTTTGTACATAAATCAACCGTTTTTACGTTTTATCCATAAAAAAAAAAAAAAATTTCTCTTTTGACGTTGAAAAAAAAGAATTTAAACCTTAACTATCACACAAATTATCCTTTTTTAAAAGAAAAACAGGTACGCACACGAATACGAAAACTCACTCACCAAATACTATTAATGATAATAATGATAATAATAATAAAAAACGTAGAAAAATTATTATGTGGCCCGATGTGTGTTAATTGAGAAAGCGTCTAAATGTTGAATCGACGCGAAAAAACAAATTTTGTCGTCAGCCATGTCAAAAAAAAACGCCATAGTGACAGAGCTTTTGGATTTTCAAAGCTTTTGCGCAGAAACGCAGAAAAGGAAAGAAAGAAAGGAAAAAAAAAAAAAGGTTTTTTTTTTGGGGGAAGGCTAAAGAAAGGAGGGCCGAAGGGAAATATCATGTTATTTATTGACGGACTTCCTTGACTTTTTTTTTTTTTTTTTCTGTTGGAAAAACATTGTATATTCTACATAATTCACTTGGAAATACATTTTTTTTTTGGAGGTTTTCAAACAAACCGAAAAAAAAAAATTTTCCTTTTGTGACGTCATCATCACGTTAATAACTTTTAATTTGAATTTTGATAGCTTCAACGATTAATTTTTAATAAAAAAAAAAAAATTCCGTCTCAGAACGTTTATTATGAATTAACGGAAAAACTCCAACCACCCACCCACCTACCTACCTACCTACCTACCCGTCTACGTCATACATAACGTACATAAATGTTTATGTTTGAAAATAAATAAAAAAAATATTGAAAAACGAACGTAAAAAATGAAAACCATATAAAATTATTATAAGACCGTTAATAAATTTTCTTTTTATTCGACTTATACGATTACTACCAATCGATATTCGATTATATATCGAATATCGATTGGTATTATTTCGATATATGATCGATATATTCCGTTAAATTATTATTATTATTAAACTTTTAATTTTTTTTTTTTTTTTGGTTTTTTTCCAACCCGAAAAAAAAATAGACAATGAACGGATGAGGGGGGGGGTGGGAAATATATAAAGAAGAAAACGTATTTGATTTTTAAAAGGGAGGGTTTTGGGGGGGGCGAGTGTGGTAGGGGGAGGGGGGCTACGAAAAAAAAAAAAAAATATATATATATATATAAAAGGGTATGGAGAAAAAAAAAAGGAAGAAAAAAAAGGAAGAAGAAAAAAAAAAATAGAAAAAAAAAGGGAGTTCTTTCTTGAATAGGAAAGGAAGGGAAGGTTTAATTTGTGTAAGTGCAAATCCTGTGATTCAGTCCCTCCCTCCAGCCGCCATTATTGACGATCACTCTTGATTACGCTGACACGCGTTCGGCGTTCGGAGTTGCGCTTGAAATTTTTTTAAGAATTTAGTGCGCAGGATTTTATCCAATTATATTACGAGTTGTGATGAATGTAACAAATGTGAATTCTTTTACTATTTCCTTTGTTCTTTCCTTTTTTCCTTTTTTCCTTTTTCCTTACCATTATAATATACCTTCACACACACACACGTTCGGTACCATATTCATTTACTCTAACCGCCAAAAACGCGAATCATACATATATATATTCATAGCGATAAATATAAAAATTCTATTAAAAATTTATTTATTTATTAATAATAATAATAATAATAATAATAAACTTATTAAAACTTTATCTTATATATTTTGTACAAACGTTTGTCTCATCCAATAATAATAATTAAAAATAAACTGGGGAGAGAGGGAGAGAAGGAAAAAAAAAGTTTTCGTATTATTTTGCCAAAAAATGAACAAAATTCAATAATAAGTATTGCCAACTTAAAAAAAATTTTTTTTTTTTGGTTTTTATCATCATCGAATGGAACAAAAAATTCTAACGGTTTTTTTTGTAACGGTAATTAAATTAAGCGAAGACGACGACGACGTTAAGAAAAACTTTTATTATTATTATTATTATTATTATTATTATTATTATTATTATTATTATTAATATTTTGATATGGATTTGAATATTATTATTATTATTATTATTTTCATCTTCTTCTTCTTCTCTTTTTCATTTTTTTTTTTTTGACGAGTGTGACTTTTTTTGATTTTCCAGGTTGCTTCCAGACTGACCCGTAGGATATTCTGGAGTGTTAAAAGACACTTTCCACGCGACCATTCCAACATCATTTTCTCCCGGCAGTCTTTTTGTCTCGATTAATTTATTTTCTTTTTCCTTAACCTATTCAACGTAGTTCATCAATTGCGATGGTATGGATATGTCCTCTGGAGAGAGAGAGAGAAAGAGAGAGAGAAAATAAAGGAATCAAAACTACTTCTTACGGTAAAATAAACGTAAGGAAAACCCCCCCCACCCCCCACCTTGTGGATTTTCATCCATGTAATCCCTCCATAATTTATCCGTCATTTGACGAAACATGTCCGGTATGTCTTAGACGTATGCCGTTCCAGTGCTTTGAGCTTGAAACCTTTTTTGCTGCAGGTAATCTTTTGTTACGTAAGGCACCGTGATTGGAAGACCGTGCATGGGTCCCTGTTTCGATCCGTAAGCTTCGAATTTTATCTGCAATCATACACACGCACACCCCCCACGTTCGTAACAAAAAAAATAATTTCATTTTTTTTTTTTTAAG